CGGAAACGACTGCGCCAGCCTGCGGAAACAGAACAAAGCAAGACCGAGATAAAAACGCCTTCCATCAGAGCGCGCGGGCAGCCATCAGAAAGGCAAAGTTGCAAAGAGATTTAATATTCTCCTATCTATAGTCTGGCTTTGGGATGTGCACCAGGTGTGCACCTTGTGCCGCTGGGTGGGCACGACCAGCTGCAGCAGTTTTTTTTGCACTGGGGGACAGATTCTGTAAGTACCTACGCAGGGAAACTAAGCAGCCCGGCAAAAGTCCTGGGTGGCTCAATGCTGTGTTCATATAAACCCAGCCAAATATATTTTCCTACTTTAAAAATAATCTTCTACGAGTGCAGGGGAAGATTTTTTACACTTATTCTTTTTTTTTAAACGAAAATACCAGATTCACTCTGTGCGTGTTCTCACCACCAAGACTTTATGCATCTTCAGCGAGCCGCCTTCAGCCTCTCTTTAGTGGGAAAGAGCCTGTGGATGGAATTATGTTTAGATGGAACTACATTAGGTGATTTATGGCAGGAATAGACAGGGCAGGGTGCTCCTGATATAGTACGAGAGCGTTTTCAGGTTGCTCATGGCCAGTGCAAATTATAACTTTCAAAGAACCGTGTTGTTCTTGGAGGTCCAGGGCAGAGTGAGGCTCAGGACAGCAACCATATAGGAGATATACATTCTGCTATCGTTGCTGAACTACAGCCAGCTGCAGCTGAGGACCACAGAGAGCAGAAAAATTGCAGCTCAATTACTAGGTGCTTTTAAGGCATGGTTATAGCACGTAGTCGAAAAACCAGCTGTAGAATTCCTGACATTATAGAGTACGAAAGGGTGGCCAACTCTGCACCGCCTGGGCTGTGAAGAGCTGTGCACACCTCTGCACAACTGGGCTAAAAATGTATTTTTTTTTCCTTGAACGCTCTAACAGACAGCATGCGATCCCTGTGAACGCATACGACAACGTACGACGAAAGGCAACCAGAAGCCGTGTTAAGAAGGATTGTCACACCTGTTCCCCCACAAAGAGTTATTCACTGCTTCTTTAGCCGTTGTCTGCAAGGACCCCATTTTAACATGCGCGTTGGAGGACCCTGAGGAAGCCTGGGAAGGGGAATAGTCTGAGTAAGTGCCTGAGGAAACGCTGTTATTCAGACAATGGATCTTATCTGCTTCAGACTCATCTGTCGATTCTGAAACAAAACACAGCAAACGTTTTCAGGAGCGGGTATTTGGAAACTAAACTCCAGAAAAATACCTTTTTTAATTGATACTATGAAGAGAGATATAGATGTGCAAAAATATCTATGTAGTATGTTTTCAAATCAGAGTGAAGTGTACCGCACCTTAAGGAACGTGTCTATCTGTGTACATGACATAGAATCATAGAATGGTTTGGGTTGGAAGGGACCTCAAAGATCATCCAGTTCCAACCCCCCTGCCATGGGCAGGGACA